TATGAAGCTCTGGAGCTTGGCTCTCTGGGTGAACTGGTAGCAAATTCTACCACCGCTTCAAAATCTCCAACTCAGTGGCACCCTAATTTGGGGTAACAAGAGACCCAACCAAGCATAGGCTTGAGAGACACAGCCATCTAAGGCCGGAGCCTGGAACATGTCACTGCTGAAATGCAAGGCGGCAGGAACCAGCCCTGTTTCTGTTGCCACCACTGCCGGGCCTGCTCCTGTGGTCAGGGAGGGGAAAAGGGCGGTTAACACGATGGAGAGCACCCAGCTGGTACGAGGGACTAGCCACGCCTGACGCCCACAGGTCCCTCTTGGCAGGTCCTACCCCATCCAGAGAGCCCAGGCTCTTTGAGTCCTGTTATACCCCTCCCTCTGAAGGCCGCTAAGTGGATTTTAAATCCTCACTCCTCACTTTTTCCTTTCCTCCTCCTCCAGTTCTTCACTTGGTAGTGACCACCCAGGCACCAGGCTCTTGAACATTCTGGTCAGCTGCTGTTCTCTGAAGCATGAGTCACTGCATGACACAGGACATTCTCGCTGGGCAAGGGGGCTCCCAACGTCTGTCTCACCAAGGGCCCTGTTTTCCGACAGAAACTTTTCATTCCATAGGAAATGAGGTCACACACCAGAGCACACGGGTAACCAGTGAGAAAATCCTGGTGCCAGGAAGGGGGGGTGGTAGAAGTGGGGAGGCAAACTAGACCCTAACACTTAGGAACCACCAGGGGGAATCACCTGCGACTCTTGGGTCATTTGTACTAGGATGGGGGTGGGGAGGGTGGAGGAAAGGGGCGCACACAGCTTAAAAAAATAATCTGGTTTCTTTTAAAGTATATACAACCTACATGATTTTACTAAGTCAAACTTGCAGGGCATTTGGCTAGCTTATTTTCACGACTTGGAGCCCCTTAATCTAAGTCCTACAGGAGACCAACACACAAGAGGTAAAGGAGGAGGGGGAGGCGGGAGGCCAGGGCTGCCCTGCGGGATTCAGGCCGCGGGGACTGGGACGTGAGGGTGGGTGGCGCAGTGCTGCCCGCTCCACCCACCGGCTCCTCGCTCCGGGACTTGGCTGCAGCCCGGCCTGACCTTCCAGGTTTCCCTGGCAGGAGATCAAAGTGCTGAAGCCACAAACACAGCTCAGAACTCGAGGCCCTCCGGCCAACATCCCCCCATCCCGCGGCTCCTCCCCGCGCCAGGAGCCTTCCTCCTCCCCCCTCCTGCACCGCCCCGCAGGGTCCCTCCTCCCCTACAGCAGCACTGCTTCCCCCTCCCCCGAACCCCCAACCCAGCGGGCCAGGACTTTGAAGGCGGGCTGCCATCCGGCCTTCTCCGACCCGGGAAAGTGCCCTCCTCGCCACTAGCCGCGCCCCTCCCCACCGGGAGAAGATATTTCTCGCCGTAATTAAAGTCATTAAGCCTCCAAAGGCTCCCGTCGGCTGCAGGTTCGGAGTTCCGGAACGAAGATGAGGCATTTTAAGTCCTAGTTAAGATTATGCTGATCTATTTAGGAGACATGTAGCAGCGAGAATTCAGCGGTTAAGTTAGTGGTTACGGCTGTCTAAGTTTAAACAGTGTTACTTATTCTCAAAATATGTAGCAGCCCCACTTAATTTCTCCTAATTAAAGGAACCCGACTGAAGAGGCTGGAGTCCGCGGCCGTATCGCGGCGCCATTGCACAGGTTGGTACTCTTTTCACAATCAGACACTAGTGGGTGTCAAACGGAAATGTATTTCCCTAGATCTTAATCTTAAACATGGACGTTTAGGCCAGTTCCAAGAAACACAAAGATCCTCTTTAACACCTGTCAAGGAGCACCAAAAACCCAGGAAAGCCTGTCCACACCCTCCTGTTCCATCGAGACTGTGGGGTGAAAGGTATTATGGAAAAGCTGCAGTTGGGTTGTTTCATTACCTGTCTATGCCTGGAAGATAAGCTTCTGGAAGAATCTGGAAGCCGTTATCTTGGCTGTTTCCAGAAGTCCCACTTCAGGCCAAATCTTATATAGTCAGCAACTAGAAACTTCAAAAAGGACCACCCCCCTTCAATGCATATGGCAACTAATTAATATAAACAACTGTTAATTAGGTGGCAGCATCAGGCTTAACGAGCAACAACAGTGCCTGCAAAGTCTGGACACCCTACAGTCTCTCTTTGAAGGATGAGAGGTGGCCGGCAGGCTCTCTCTGAAGGCTGAGTTCCTCACAGGGCAGTTGTGCTTCTCAACCTTGTCTCACTGAGGAAGCAACTGGGGAAATTAAAGGAAAAAACAAACTCATGCCCAGGACCTACCCCTAGAGATGATGATTTGATCTATGTGAATGAAACCCCAGCAGCAATATTTTTAAAGGAGTTCCGCAGTTATTTTAATATTTAGGCAGAGCAGAGAACCACTAATCTAAGCTAAAATCGCACACAGCCTCTGGTATGACTGTCCAATGCACATGCTAAAACTCCTCTCCTGATTCGGTTGGACTGATGGAGACCTAGAGGCCACCTAACCAACACCCTCTGGCAACACTTACAATGAGGCAAGGGAAGGTGTTAGAAAACTGCTGAATCAGGTGGTAAACTCATTGAAAAGGCAAAAAGATTATTTTGGTTACACAATTTTCTTCTTTTTATGAAGAGGAAAGTAATTTGGATGAAAGCATTTTTGCATGCTAGAAGCAGGCTTGTCCTTGCTCCTCGCAGGACAAGGGACAAGGACTAGCAAACCAGTAAATAAAATATATTGTACTCTTCTATCTTGACACATGCACCTTCAAACTTGAAACACAGGTTCCAGGCAAGCTTTCTAACTCCTTGGAGCTCCTCACCAGAGCGTGTCAGTGTGGAGAAAGCTGACCCCCTGGCCCACCCTGCACTTTGAGGGGTTTGTACACATGCAGGTGAACACCCCAGGTTTTGAAGCCAAGCTGTGTCTACATCCTTGGGAAGATAGGCATGCTGCCAGTGCACAGTGCCTCCAGGAGGATGGTCCTAGAAGAGGGTCTGTAAGTGCTGGAAACCACCACAAGATCATTTTAAGGGAGTTTAGGGTTGCTGGGAATGGTTTAGATGGGGGCTTCCCCTTGGGCTCCTCACTCTGTGGCCAGAAGGTTTAAAAGGGGGGCCTTAAAGCATGGCTCCCCTTGCTTGGTCATGGAGCGGTATTGAGACTCCAAAAGGGAAGGTAAGGAAAGTGCTTATTCATGTGCCAGGCAAGGCACCGAGTGCTTTCAAATGGTACTGAATTTGCAGAGCAAGTCTGCAAGGGAGGTGATGTTGATCCCCATTTTACAGCTGGTGGCTCAAAGGTTACATAACTTGCCTATGGTCACTCAGCCACAAAGTGAAGATCTGACATTTGACCTAAGCCTCTCTCCATAATCCCAGGCCAGAGAAATACTCATGTCCCAGGGGGTTCTAAAGTCAAATGTAATGGAGATACGTCCACATATATCAACATGAATGCTGAACCTCCAAACATTCCATTAATAGCTTATGTAAGTATTATATTTCCTGGTAACACAAGGAAATTCCAGATGGCTCTTATCCTAACCCATTTGGTCTCCCTCCTCTTGAAATCTCCCTTTACAAATGTCATGCAGCTCATGTAGTCAACATAAGGAGGGATTTTTTTTTTTCTCCCCTAGCTGCCTATCACATTCACTACATCATCTGCTGGCCCTCTCTGGGAGGTAGCAGGGTGTAACATTTTCTTACTTTTGTACAGGGTTACCTGTTTAAAAATTCAGGTCTATTTAGTCAAAGACTATTTCATCCAAAGGGGTTATATTAATTGCCATATTAGCCAGTGCAAGCTCACCAACACTACAACTTTCATCCTTCATTCTTCTTAAGGATCTAAGTTGTTGCAAAATGGTCTCCTGTGTACCCTATGGTACTGACACCTTTTACATGATTTTGTATTAGTAGAGTTTAAGGAAAGTTTCATTATCTCTTTACCTTAAACCAAAATCATTTATAACAGTTACAGAATCAAACCCCTTTCTCTAGAGAAGGGCAGTCACATGGCCCCTTCAGCCATAGTATTCTTGTTTGGGTGCAGTCAGTTTGATGACACCCTACCAAAGCCAAGGTGGCCAACCCAGGCTCTTTTTAGAGCACTGCCAGAGCAGAAGGGCAGGAAGGTGCTACCTCACACTGCTTGGACTGAAATCCTAGCTCACCAACCTAGCTCTGTGACTGTGAGCTTGTGATGAATTTTCTGTTTTATTTCATCTGTGCAATGGGGATGACATTGAATCTATCTCCTGAAGGCTTCTGGAAGTCGACATGACCACACTACACTTCATATACATGCAGGGACATCCCAGTTTAGGGCAAGAAATGTTGCCATGGCATGAGTCTGGCAGAGGGTGGTTAGTGGCTGTCAGCCTAGTGGTATATCAAAATGCCTGGGGGAGCTTATTAAAAAATAAGAGGGGCAGACTCCTCCCTGGAGACTGAGGGGAACTGGACCAGAGGTAGATCTAGCCTTTGTAGGTCTGAAAGCTCCTCAGTCCAATTCTTAGGTGCAGCCAAGATGGGTAACCACAGACCAAGATGCTAAGGCAGTCAGAGAGGGAGAGATGGTGAGCTGGGAATGTGCTTTTTAACCTAACTCATCAAGCCCTTGTTCTTCCCCTCCTAGAATGGCCCAATTCCTTTCTCAGCTACATTTCTGTACACTTATGCTACTCTAACTCAGACTTAAGGAAAGCACTTGTTAAAGAGAAATTTCTTTTCAAGGGAATAAACAATTGAGCTTTTTGTGATATCTGGGGAAAGATACCCCCAAAGGAGAAGTCTGGGTCCCTCACAATTCAAAGCCTCTAAACAAACAATGATCACAGGCAGCCTCTGGTCACCAGTGTTGGCATGGCACTTGGAACCCAGCGGGCATGAAGATGCTGAGGGGCTGGGGGGGACACAGCCATGGGCATAAGAGCAATCATTTATATGGGGCAAGCTTTTGGGGTTCATGGTAGAAGTCCTCCTGACCTTTGGGTCCAGGCCTTTGGCCTCTACGCCACAGGAGTCCCCAGGATCTTCTTGCACAGGAGCCTCTACCCTGAGTAGGACAGACCAATTGATGCAAGTTCCAGATGGGTCTTCTGAGATAACAGGATAAAAATGGAGAAAGATGAGAATCTCAAGGATACCTTTTTCAGGTTTAAGTCCTATTTTTCAAAAACAAACATATGCTTTCTTGAAGTAAGCCCTCAAACATATTCTGAACTGAGCTAACCAAGTCACAGAACTTGTATGTCAACTGCCCAGTCATGGGTCATGGATAGGCTATAAAACATAAGTTAAACCTTGAATATCCTATGTTGAATTAGACCCAAAAAGGTCCTATATTTTCTAGTCTAATTCAAATAACAAGTGCCATAATCACCTTTCTATATAGGCTAACAGAATGAAGGCTGTGTGAAATCTACAGTTTTATTTCTTCCAAATGCATTCCAGTCCTGGTACTCAATAGTCATACAATGGTGCTGATAATGGAGGGGGAAGGAGAAAAGTGGCAGAGTCATCAAGCTAGCCTTCCTCAGCCCAAAAGCTGATGCTAGCTGGAGAAAAAAGGTGCTCCCAAGCATCGCTAGCAAGCATCTGGGGTACAGCAACAATCATTAATACTACATTCTGTCCTATGTTCACAATCCCATCAATGCCCCTCTCGGGCTGCAAAGCAGTGAGGGGCTTGTAATCCACTAGGTTAAAGAAATGGAACTAGAGGCAGGGAGCGGTGGCTCATGCCTGTAATCCCAGCACTTTAGGAGGCTGAGGCAGGCAATCACCTGTGGTATTTTTAGTAGAGACACGGTTTTACCATGTTGGCCAGGCTGGTAAACATGGTGAAACCCTGTCTCTACGAAAATTACAAAAAATTAGCTGGGCCTGGTGGCCTGCACCTGTAATCCCAGCTACCTAGGAGGCTGAGGCAGGAGAATGGCTTGGACCCAGGAGATGGAGGTTGCAGTGAGCTGAGATCATGCCCCTGTATTCTAGGCTGGGTGACAGAGCAAGACTCCATGTTTAAAAAAAAAAAAAGGAACTAGACCAACAAGGGCAACAAATGGATTAAGCATTTAACTGGGTAGGATTATTTTGAAGGATGCACAATACAGTTCTGCAATGGAGGAGCAGGACAGGGGTGATGTGTGCCACGGGCTGGTATAGTTAGGAAAGACTTCATGGAGACCAAGCTGCCAGAATGAAGAGGAAGAGAAGGCCAGCCAGCGGCTGGATATCCAAGGTGCTGGTGGAGGCAGCAGACACACCAAGTAGCATGAAGGGGAAAGGTTAGCAAAAGGTGGCATAGAGGCTGGGTGCAGTGGCTCATGCCTGTAATCCCAGCACTTTGGGAGGCTGAGGTGGGCGGATCACTTGAGGTCAGGAGTTCGAAACCAGCCTGGCTAACATGGTGAAACTCCTTCTCTACTAAAAATACAAAAATTAGCCGGGTGTGGTGGTGGGCACCTGCAATCCCAGTTATTCAGGAGGTTGAGGCAGGAGAATTGCTTGAACCCAGAAGGCGGAGGTTGCAGTGAGCGAAGATGGTGCCACTGCACTCCAACCTGGGTGACAGAGTGAGACTCTTTCTCAAAAAAAACAAAAAAGGGCAGCATAGGGTTACATGGTTGGGTATTATTGTCCACTCACATGACCATCACATAAACTTAACAACTATTTAGTGATTACCCTCTGTTTTGGTAGCAGCTGTCATGCCCACAGTTTAGTTTCTGGCACACAGCATCCAAGCAGTCACTATGGTTTACTGACATTTTTGGGTTACTACCTGAAATTTTATTTTTTTTCTGGAAGAGTTTCCCTAACCCCTACACCAAAGCCCAGTCTTGTGGCTATGTGCTTCCAGGCAAAACTTCATTAATTTCACAAATACTTAATTGAGTATGTATCATGAAGGTATCCCAAAAGAACCTAGTCCTAAAAGATGTAGTGTCTCTTCTCATGGAGTTCCAGTAGTTATACTAGGGACCCTACATTCACAGCCACAGGTAAGTGCCCTGAAGGAGAGGAGCATCACAGGACTCCAAAAAAAAGAAGAAAGGGAGGAGACTGGACCTATGCCTCTCCACTTTGTGTCAGACCTCAGCTTGTTATCCTGTGAACAGCAAACCTCAGTAGCAACCCACACTGCCTGGAAACCCTCAGCAAATATTAAAACATCTATTCAATATTAACACTTATATTCACCAACAAATACAGGGGCAATTACTGTTTCAGGAAGGCAGATTAAAGTATAGTTTGATGGCCTTTAACAGTGCAGAAAATTGAAGAAAAAAACAGTTAATGCCTTTAAAAATCATTATAATGAAGGAGACTCGAGGGACTCTGAACCACAGAAAGGTGGAGTTGGGCCGGAACGCTTCCTTTGGTCAATAATAGGTGAATAACTATGTCATTAAGAAAAGGACTTCTTGCAAAAGAACAGCTTAATCCCAGGAAAAGGAAAGAGTAAAAGGTTACATTAAGGGAATCAGGGATAATCTCTATCAATTACCCAGAGCCTTTCCTGTTAGGGAAGTCTCAGAAGAAGAACAGGAAAAGAGCTGGGTCATGATCCAGGGTGCTTATGCTTTGTTTTATGATCCAGGAGTTTGGCAGTCTGGTTTGTGGGTAAGTGAAGAGAGCTGTAACTACAAGCACTATGTAACCCCACAAATAAGCAGGTAATTGTAGAATATGCCAACATTGGCTCAAGAGGCACCCAGCTATCAGGCAGGCATGGAGAACTGGCTGGCATTTTGAGGCTAAACAAATCAAACTGCATACCTACCAGGTGGCTGGGACAATTGGAAAGACTGGTGAGCCAAATCCAGAAGAGGGACCACAAACCACTCCCTTTAGAGGAAAGAGTTCTGGCCAGATGACCCCACATGGAATAAATGACTGATCCTGCTTCTCCAGTACCTGGGAGTCAATGTGGTGCACTAGAGGAGACTGAGCCTGCTTCTCTATTCCTGGGAGACAATGCAGCACACCCAAGGAGAGACTGAGGCCTGCTTCTCCATTCTTTGGAGCTAATATTGCCCACCCTAGGCAACTGAGACTGCTTCTCCATGCCTGGGAGTTAATGTATCCCATGCAAGGGAACCAGCCTGCTCTCCACTCCTGGGAGCCAATGTAGACCACTTGAAAGTCACTGCAGTCCTCATGCCAGGGAGACAGAGAGGGTCTCTTAGGCAACAGGGACCTTGACTATGGTCCATCTGAATCAAGTGTCCCTCAGTCCTGGAGTGGGATGAAAGCATACCTAGTCCCATGCCCAGGATTTGGAAAGGAGGCATGACTTTCCTGAGGTCAGAGTGTGCTGGCAGCAGGGGAGGGTGTTCCATCAGAGCCAACTGCTTCCTGTCAACCCTGCCCCCACTTCCGTCGAGTCCATTAGGTTTTATAATATTGAAGATTTTTTGTTTTGGGGAAATAAATCAGAATTTAGGGGACTCCAATGTTAGTTTTTCAAAAATAACTTTAAAATATATTTAATCAGGGTCTACTAGTAAACACATAAATATTTTCTGTATGATTTCAAGCAATTTTTATCAGAATTTCAATACCAGAGATTTGAAGCCAAGCATTTAAGTAAAGAATTTTTTAAAAACCAATTTGTTGGAGGTGGGAGGGGGGTGGAGGATGAGAAATTACTTAATGGGCACAATATATATAATTCAGGTAATGGCTACACTAAAAGGCCTGACTTCACCACTATGCAATACATCTATGTAACGAAATCATACTGGTACCCCATAAATTTAGACCCAAAACACTGTGATTTGTTACAGGAAAGCTGACTATAAAGGGCCTGCTAGCAGGCAAGTGTATGGCAGCTTACAAGGGAGATGGAATCTTGAAAAGAAGGGTAAATTAAAATATTTTCAAATATGCCAGTTGAGTTCACTTAATAAATTTTAAAGTGAGTACTTCTGTAACAACAATAAATTCTCCAACCTACTGAGATTGCTTCTAAGGGGACTGGGACATCTGCATAACTCAAACTTGTAAGTCGTACAGCTGACTAAAGGCAGGGTTGTGGGTTTTTTTCCCCAATCTGAAACTTCACGAAATAATATAAAGTCAGGGTTTTTAACTGCTGGACACATAGTCACATACCTAACCCTGTTCTCACGCTATCCTGAGAACATGCTACACCAGATCCAGTGATGGGCAGGGATCAACCAAGACTCAGAAATACCATGCTCCCCAAGTCTGCAGTCCTACTTCAGTTTTAGCCTTAAGAGAAAGTGTGTCTGGGATCAGGATCTGATAATCAAGAGGAGGGTAGGTTTGGGGGTCACGTTAACAGCTAACAGATGAAGTTACAGATTAACTTTTCACTGCAATTAGTTGGTTAATGTACAATTTGCAGGTAACTTCAATCGTCCTGGCCCAAGATCAGAGAAAAGAAAGCAGTGTTCTCTTTTCGTCCTTAAAAGGAATGAACTACTGATATACACAATCCACATGAATGTATCTCAAAATAATTATGCTGAGTCAAAGAAACCAGTACATATTGCATGATTCCATGCATGTAAAATTCTATAAAATGCACACTAGTGTACAGTAGGAGAAAGCAGATCAGTAGTTGTCTGGGATTTGGCAGGGAAGCTAGGAAAATGAGGCAGGGACTTTAAAGGGGAACTGAGGGAATTTTGGGGGAGTGACAGATATGTTCATCTTGACTGTGGTGATGTTATCATGGGTGTGTGTGTGTGTGGATATAGGTCAAACCTTATCAAATTGTTCACTTTAAATATGTGCTGTTTATCAAATGTCTATTACACTTCAATAAAGATTAAAACAAGGCTGGGTGAGGTGGCTTATACCTGTAATCCCAGCACTTTGGGAGGCAGAGGTGGGTGGATCATTTGAGGGCAGGAGTTCGAGACCCGGCCTCTACTAAATATGCAAAAATTAGCCGGGCGTGGTGGTGCATGCCTGTAATCCCAAGTACTCAGGAGGCTGAGGTAGGAGAATATGTTGAACCCAGGAGGGAAGTTGCAGTGAGCCAAAATTGTGCTACTGCACTCCAACATAGAGGACAGAAATAGGATCTGTCTCCAAAAAAAAAGGTTAAAACAAGGAGAGA